TATAGACTTATAAGAAAAGGGGCACTTTGGGACTGAGACATACATCAGCAAGAAACTTTTGAAGAGACTACAGAGCTAGTGCAGCAAACACCAGCCTTCAGCAAAATTTATAAGGGTATCACTATATCTTTCAATGTTGTTGCTACACCTGAGGGTATGACTTGGATCTTAAGGCAACCTGAGTATGGTAACTCACTCTGTTCAGGATTTTGGTCATAATTATAGAATGGTCCTTTTGGAGTGTCAGGGTCCTATTTTCCTGAATCTATTTGACCTCGTTGGATCACTTAGTTGAGGTAGAAAGTTCAATGAGGCACAGTCATAAGTGGAAGTGAAAAGAATTGGAACTTGAGAGTAAAGGCCAAGTAGCACAGACAGTATGAATAGAAAGCAAAAGTAATCCACACAAGTTCAATGTAACAAGGAGAAATTTTATTTAAGAAGAACAAGGAGCAATTTAGAACACTTCCAAAGAGAGTTGGAAGTGGGTCCCTCTCATGATGAAGAGTTGAGGGAGACATAGACTCAAAGGCAGTGAAGAGCGTTAATACCCTCTTTCTCCCAGTATGAAATTGGTTGCAACTCTTTCATTGGCCTCTCTGTGCCTCCAAGAATGATAGCCTTTTTCCATTGGTCATTAATTATTATCTCTTTTATTGGTCATTAGTTACCTAGGTTACCTCATTTCCACATTTATATGGGTCCTCCAGCCTTCCTTGTCCAGAAGGCCAGGCTTTCTTCCCATCCTCTTTGAAGCCCCTTCTTTTGTGTACCTTCTAGAGCTTAATTCTCTTCCATGATCAGGAAGTGCTGCCAGTATATTATGCTTCTCCTCCAGTGAAACCATTAACAAAGACCTTCTTTCATGCTGATAATGGGTCTAACAGTTAAGGGATGATTAGAAGGAAAATTCAAACAACTTGCTTCCAATGAAGCCCAAACACTTACCCTGGCTAAAGGGCATGCCTGCCTAGTTATAAGAGGAAGTGTTCTGGCAATGAGTCCCTTATGCCCAGAATTGCATGCTGTGTTAAGTCCAGCCACCTTTGGCAACCAAAAACACCTGTCCTGCTCCAGTGCTTGACCAAGTAAGAGAAGCAGTTTTACTCATCCAAGACGACGACTGGTATACCAATGACTCCAGCACTGGAAACTCCTGCACTTGGACCACTGACAAAGATAGACACACATCAGGGTAGTCAATGGGCAGAGCTGTCAGCTGCTTGGTTAGTAATTACTCATACCCTGGTCCCTGGTATTTGTACTGATAACTGCTGTATTCAAAGGCCTAATTATGTGGCTAGCCCACTGGGAACAAGAAAAGTGAGCATGTACCCACTCATGTGGTACTTGAACATGTGACAAGACTTGGAGGAGAAGCTGCAATACCCTGCAGCTGATTTAACTGAATTTCATGTGGACACAGTCACACCCACCCTACCCACACACACAAATGTTTATACTTTGGATGAGAGGAGTATACAGTAATGGTCAGGAGTATGGCAAGGAGGACACCACCTTGAGGCAAAACTATCCTGTTGTCTTATCCCATATACTAAAATATTCTGCAGCAAGTTAGAACAATGTTCATAGTATGAGTAATACCCCATAGAGGTGCTTATCTACCCTTCTCAGTGGTCATGAGTTTCACCAGAAAGCCTAACATGTGACCAGCTATATTTGTTTCCCCTGAAAGATTGCTAAACTATTTTGTATGTGTTGTATGTGGTGATCCACTATCATGTTTTTTTGCTTTTAGTTCTGTAAATATTTTCTAGATTATTTCTTGCATAAATTTTAGAATGTTCTAAAATTGTTCTATCTCCTTGCTAACTTGAACATTTTTTGCTTTTAGTTCTGTAAATATTGTTTTTTTGCTTTTAGTTCTGTAAATATTGTTTTTTTGCTTTTAGTTCTGTAAATATTTTTTTTTTTTTTTGCTTTTAGTTCTATAAATATTTTCTAGATTGTTTCTATTGCAGTTTTTTTCTTGACCAGGGCCAGGTTTGAACCCACCACCTCCAGTGTATAGGGCCGGCGCCCTACTCCTTGAGCCATGGGCACCACCCCTCTAGATTGTTTCTTGCATAAATTTTAGAATGTTCTAAAATTGTTCTATCTCCCTGCTAACTTGAACATTTATTATCATTATAAAATACACTTCCCCTTTGATCTACAATATTGATTATTATTTTCCTTATTCAATCATAGCCATGTACAATGAAATACTTATTTCAGTGGTTTTATATACAATTTGAAATACATACAACAAACTAACATAGCCTTCACCACACTTTCTTAATTATTGTGTTAAGATGTTTATACTCTATACTTAGTAGATTTAACTTGTACTGTGTAAAATGCACCATAGATTCGGTCCGACCAATTACCCTCCCTCCAAACATCCCTCCCTCTTCTCTATCTCCTTCATCTTGGGCTATAGTTGGGTTATAGCTTCCATATGGAAGTGTGGGTAATTGTATGTTGGTTTCACAGTAGAGCTGAGTACATTGGATACTTTTTCTTCCATTCTTGGGATACTTTACTAAGAAGAATATGTTCCAGCTCCATCCATATAAACATAAAAGAGATAAAGTCTCCATTTTTAAAGGCTGCATAATATTCCATGGTGTACATATACCACAATTTATTAATCCATTTGTGGGTCAATGGGCATTTGAGCTTCTTCCATGATTTAGCAATTATGAATTGGGCCTCAATAAACATTCTGGTGCAAATAATTTTGTTATAAAGTCATTTTTAGTCTTCTGGATATATGCCTAGTAGAGGAATTGCAAGATGGAATGGTATTCCTATTTTTAGATCCCTAAATGATCTCCAAACTTCTTTCCAAAGGGAACGTATTAGTTTGCATTCCTACCAGCAGTGCAGAAGTGTTCCCCTTCTCCATATCCACTCCAAAGCTTACTTTACTTAATATTATTGTAATGATACCAGATTTCTTTCAGATGATGTTTCCACTGTCTATTTTTGTACCATTTTCATTTCAGCTTTCCATGTGTTAATTTTGAATTCTATTTCATGTAAGTAGTATCTTGTTGGAGTTTTAAAATCTTGGCTGTTAATATTAGTTCTCTACTTGAAATAATTTGTCCATTTCCATTTAATATAATTCTATTCTTGATTTCTAGAAAGTTTAGAAATGTTCCCATTTTTTTTCCTGAAAGTCTCTTATAGCTCCTCTTTTCTGAAATTCTGTCCTGATACTTAAAACATTATATACATAATTAAAATATCTATACATATTTTTTCCTGTTCATTCCAATATGTGCAGTTTATGTGAATTCTAAGTTTGCTGGTTGCTTTGTTTGGTGTGTTTGTTTTGTTTTGCTGACTATAATTCATAGTCTGTTCCTATGGTTGATAATATTTCC